AAATTTAAGCTTTAGCACATGCTCCGGGCTTGGGCTGTCTTTTTTCGTCTCTGATGTGTGGCCTGCAACTGAGTTCTGGAGTGTAACGTGGGTGAAATTAGTCTCAAAAGTATTCATGCTCATGAATTAAAAATGTTCCTAACTGTAATTGTCAGAGCTTGTAACTTAACACCTGAGGCCAGTTTGCTAGTTTAAGCTAATGTCAGTTCTCTTTGGATGCTCTCCCTCAGTCTTTTTCCTCAGACCTCACATCACTGCTTTGACTTATTGCTTTCCTGAGACCACTTTACTTTGTTTCATGGCAAAATCTATCCCCATACAACTCAACATGTGTCATTTTCTTGTCAGACATTGGCATGCTCAGAGAATTCCCTTGTCTGGGTCATAGATAATTGTAGCCGTAATTGTGAATATCATGTTCAGAGGTGAGCAGCCATAGTCCTGTTCAGACAGGCGTGACTAGTGTATTCTGTCATGTGGATCTGTGCTTGTTTTACAGTTAGGGAATTGTATTTTATGGTAACACTCATTTTTGTTTAGGTACAACTACCTGTTTTAGGAAATTCACTCCATAGGTTATAGCGTAGAGCTTGTTTTAACCTCATAGAGGTTGTTACCTCCACATTGTTGCCTCTGTGCTTAATGCATGATCCGGGTGGCACTGACTCAAGTAATGTCCTGAACACTTTCACAAAAATGGACTTCCTTTGCATGTCTGTGCTCATAATGCATCTCTGGCTGTTGGGGGCTGAAACAGCCAGGCTCAGCTGTGAGATGTGGATGCAGAGACAGGGAGGAAACGTGGTAGTGACCCCCCCCTTCAGCTTGCTGCTGTGAATTTTTTGAAGTCCTTTCACAGGAGCCTGTGTCCCAGACCTGCTCGTGGCCTTTGCAAAGAGGGACAAGCTAATTCAGGAAGGGGCTAAAAGTGGAGCCGTTTACTGGGTCAAAGGAGAGTGAAGTGGGACAGGGCTGTCGCTTTACTGATGACCACTGTCTGCATTTCCATTTCCTTCACTGTTTACCCACAAGCCACCACTTCTTCCCGTGTCTTTCCCAAAAACCTAATGTTAATAATTTAGAGATACAGGACAGGCTCGTCTCCTCTGGTCTGAAGCCCACGGACCTGCCTGTGGTGGAACGTGAAATAAAAACAAGTCACAGCAAATTAATGACTTATTTCCTGGGAATACAGAGCAGTGAGCTCAAATGAAAGAATTTCGCTCAATTGCTTCCGTGTGTTTTTTAGGGCCACAGCTGGTCTGAGTCTGAGAGCAGCGCAGTGATTAGGTAGATATATCGCTCTTTTTAGCATGACGATCTGAGACAGACTTGTATGGTAAACATTCCCAACAAGGTTGACTGTAGCTCAGTGTCATGTTCCACAAATTTTTTTTCCTGCTGGCAGTATGCCGGAGAGCATGCATATCTTTATGTCTGTCTCGTTCTGATCACAATCTAGTCTTCTCCTCCTGGTTGTGGAACATCTTAAATGGTGTGTGTCCAGGAAAACAAAAAACATACAGACAAAAAAAAGGCTGGAAACACTTACTGATCTGTATGAGACAAGACTTAGCGCATGAGAATTCACATTCATCTCTGATTAAAAAACAAACAGACACACAAAACCTCGATTTCTCAAAACTCCTTTAGGCATAGCCTAGTTTTTCCAAGACATAATGATCCAGATGGTGACATTCTATTGATAAATTTTCTCATGGCCTGCAAGAGTTTTGAGTAGTTGTTCACAAAGTAAGTCTTTGCCTGTTCATTCTTTCAAATTATTTCATTAGTGAATGTGACAATGGGCACATTTTTGTGTCCCAGTGTGCTTTGCATTCATAAAAATGTTCTCATTTCTTTCAAATTACTACCAGAGCAGGCACAGTCAGGTTTTTATTGTGTAAGCTCAGAAAAAAACTTTTAACTTTCTTTTTTAACATGCAGTTATTCATTTTTATAGCTACAGTTCATGTTCTTCTTTGTGAATTTGCCTGTCCCGACATGAAATGAGTTATTGATGTTTTCTTTGGGCTGAGAGTATCAGCTGGAGGTTGCTTGTCAATGCTAGGGAAAGCCGCAAAATGAAGGGTTAGAGACATGTGGAAAGCCTATACATTTGTACTGAAACAGCACCACTTCAGAGACATTTTGGAACGCAGAGACATCCACATTCAGACATTCAGACTGAAGGCTTTAGCTGCTATTCAGCAGTGGAATTCAGAACAAAACAGTCTGACATGAGTGAATAACAAATAAGGAGAATCTTAGCATCTTTTTTTAGATAGATATTGCATTACACCCTGAGGGAAAATCACATATTTTAACAGCTATAATGGCAGGCTTGAATGCAATTTATGTAGTGTTGACAGGATGAAAATGTGATTGGAAGAAGAACAATCAACATTTTTAACATTTAAGCTTGTATATGTCATGAATGATGATATATTAATCACGTTCCTCTATTTACAATGGAAAATAAAATGCATTGAAAATTAAGCCAGTATTTGTTGTGGCCACGTGTGATAGATCAGTCTTTCTGAAGATAAAATTGCCTAGAAAATTCATTGCCAAGTAATTTCTGGTGATCGCGGTCTTGCCTACATAAATCATCCGCGCACCTTTTTCGTCCTGTCCCGAGACGTGGTCTGACGTTTGCGCTTCCCTCTCCTTCCCTCCCCGCAGAACCCCGAATCCCTGGAGCTGTCCATCCAGAGCGCCCTGTCGGCCCTCTACCCGCCCTTCGAGGTCACCGCGCCCACCGTGCTCAGCCAGCTCTTCCGGGTCATAGAGGAGCGTTACCGCGGCGACGCGCTGCAGTGCCTGCTGGACTTCCTCATCCCCGCCAAGCACATCCTGGAGAGCGTGCAGCAGGCCGCCTGTGTGAGTCTCCCGCGCGCGCCACGCTCCCACAGTCCCGCGGGGCCCGGCCCAGCCTCATAGAAACGCCCTCACAGAAACGCCCTCACAGAACAGGCCAGCTTCCCACAGGGCTTGGTTAAGTTGCTGCAGGACCCCCCAGTAAAATAGGCAATCAGCTCTGCAAGTCACTGGGATATTACAGTCTTGAACGTATGAGCAAGAGCTCTCGTCAAGGACAACAGATTGCATAAGGCATTGTTTTCATAAGGCATTATGATTAAAAGCATTATCAATTAAAAAAAAAAAAAAAACATAAAAACATTATACCTGTCTTTCACAAGACATCAATAAATGCAGCATGTGACAAAAATATAGAAGAGAGCTCCATCTCAAAATTAGGCATCTTATGTACAATTACATTGATTAGACCAGAAATCAGATGATCAAAAACTAGAATGGACAGCATTTAGCTTTTGTACAAAGCAGTAATTCAGTACTTCTTGATGGTGCGTTTACATCTCCAGAACAAAGAATACATATCTGGAAGTGATAATCTTTTGGACGTTGCTCATAAAAAGCTTGCTGAAGTTCAAAGTATCCAGATACAGTGAATGAAGAAGCTCTTTCTCATGATATTCTGATCTGTTGATGTTGCGAAAATAAACTTTCGGGAGATCTTAATACACATAAATTGTATGAACCCGGACAGGGACAATACAGTTGATAGTACAGAATAGTTCTTTTTTTTCGGTCAAAGGAAAATAATCAGGCCTTTGTTTATGTGGCACTGAACCCAATAGTGTAAATGCAGCCCGAGCCAGACACGCAACTGAGCAGACAGGCCAGAGGTGGAAGAGATTGTTTTATTTTATCTCTGTGCAGAGGAGAAAAAATGCACTTCAGCATTCCAGGCATTTTCCCCTTTCAGAGGCTGCAGAAGCGTCCTGTTCTTGCCTGTATCTGAGGTCTGCTTTTCAGCTGCGCGGACATTCGATCAGGATGTTTGCCTCATTGACCTCTGAAATGCCTTGGGAAGCTTGATCAAAAGTACCCGCTATAGACTGCAGCACATTCCTTTCTGCTACGAGTGCAATCAGACGGCTTTTTTTTTTTTTTGCTGCATCGATCTCAAACGCACCAGCTGTTTCGGTTTCTCTGCAGCTCTTCCCGTAAGAGGGAGCTCTTCTGACAGTCATGACCATCAGCTCTAAAAGGCGACTGTTCGTACACTTTAACTGTTTCTGAAAACCGTGACCTTTTTTTCAGCAATGTCTGTAAATGGAGGAATGGCTGAATAGTCCCACTGATGGGTTGAAGGAACATCACTTTAACCTGCATCACTTTCAAAACTGAGACAATCATATAATCAAGAGAAGAAAAAAACATCTGCAGTGTGTTACAGTACTTCTACAGCTGCAGTGCCAGACCTTTCTGTTTGCTTTCCAGCAGTCAGATTGAACTATACCGGTATCATATTGCTTTATTTAAATTCTGGGTGGCCTTGAAAAAAAATCAGAGTTAAAATTACGAATTAATTTCTATGTAATACAAAACATTTGAGTGTGGGTCCTCAATACATCAGTAACAGAATGCGGGTTATCAGGTTTTTCCAGGACATCCCTCCGTTATGAACATAGCACAAAGCCATAATGATGTATCATTACTGTCACTATCTGTACCAGGAATTTTCCTCTCTGAGATATCATATTGTTTTCATAGCTGTATCTTCCAGATATGGCTGCAGCTATATATGCTTTAGTGTTATTATATGTCCATTAAGCTTGCATTAATTATCCCCCAAATTCTGCATTATGAAAACATTCACTTTTAATGCTGCTCTTATCACACCTTGCAAATGGGTTTAGGACTGACACTGCAACACCAGTAAACTAATGCTTGATTGTGTTCAATATAAATCCATTTGCGTGAGTTGTTTGTACTTTAGCAGAACTACTGCAAAACATTGAATTAATGTGAAAAAACAGACAGGGCCATGTAATTAACCCATGTTAATAACATTTATAAGTGCTAATAATGTTTTATTACTGGTTAATTAATGGAATGGTAATGTAATTGGTTACGGAGTGTTAAGCATGGAGCAGACCGTGTCGATTGGTAGTAAGTGTAATAATAAGAGCGGCACTGTGGCATAGTGGTAATGAGTTGGGTCCATAACCAAAAGGTTGTCAGTTCGATTCCCTGCTGGGACAGTGCTGCTGCATCCTTGGGTAAGGTACTTAACCCTTTTGCGCATATGGTCAAACTGGTGTGATTAGAACAGTAGATTGGAGAAATTCTTGCCAACGTTAGCTTTGAGGAAACAGTGATTTAACATTACAAAGTATAGCAAATGCGGTGATTAAAAGAATGAGAAGCTTAATAACGCTAATGAAGACATAATGAACCATGTAACGTAACATACGCGCTACATAGCATAAAATAAGTCACGTATGAAAGGGTTAACCCATAACTGTCTTGGTAAAATATCCAGCTGTGTAAGTGGATAACATGTAAAGACTGTAACTTATGTAAGTTGCTTTGGATAAGAGCATCTGCTAAATGACAACAGTGCAATGTAATGTAAGGTAATGACTGCAGAGATCTCAGCTGATTTGGGAGGTGCGCAGTGGGGTAAGAGCTTGTGCCCTGTGTGCTTCCCGCAGGCTGCCTACTCAGACGTGCTGTTTCGCTGCGAGGGCTGGCCCCTCTGTCTGCGCGACCGCATCGTGGTCCAGCTGGCCTCCATCAACCCGCTGCTGCTGCGCCCGGGGGACTTCTACCTGCAGGTGGAGCCCTTCGCCGACCAGGCGGCCCGCATCGTCCTCAAGAGCCTGCTGGAGGAGCACAGGCAGGTGGAGGAGACGCCCGTCCCCGAGACGTCGTACCCCAGCATCTTCACCGAGGACTGGCTGCGGGACGTCAACGAGGGCCGGCATGGGCCCCCGCTGCGCCGCTGCCTGCTGTCCACCGACCAGGGCGTGGTGAAGGTGCCCTGGGCCCAGGTGGCCAAACCCGAGTTCGTGGACAAGCCCAAAGCCATGGCCGCCCCGGCCCCCACTGTCGTCCCGGAGGCTCCGCTTGAGCCCCCCCGGCCGCCCGCCGCCCCCCCGGCGTTCTCCGTGGAGACCCGCATCCTGCCGGCCAAAGACGGGATCGCCGTGTCCCTGCGGCTGGTGGACAGCAGCCACGCCGGGCCGGCGGCGGCCGACCGGGCCCGGCCGGTGGGGAAACCCGTGGGCTGGGTCTCGCCCAACACCTGGGACTCGCGGCGCGACCGGGAGCTGGAGGGGGACTACGTGGACCTGGTGGAGTTCGCCAAGGAGAAGGAGGCGGAGCCGCGGCAGCCCCGCCGCCCGGCCATCCGGCCCGTCCGGCCGGCCCCGCCCGCCCCCAGCAGGGACCCCGCCCCGCCCTGCGGGCGCACGCTCAGGTTCTCCGAGGAGCCCTGCACCCCCTGCCTGAGGAGGAGGCTGGGGCAGGAGGCCGAGTCGCAGGAGCTGCGGTGCAGGTACAGGGACTCCTACCTGGCGGCGCTGCAGAACCCCGTCAGCTTCGAGACCGGGAGCATGCTGGCCATCCTGGAGGAGAGCGCCCCCGGTGGCGGGGGGGCAGAGTGCGAGAACGGCGGGGTGGCTGGGGGACAGTGCTGCCCCTCTACACCCCCAAACCAGCCCCCCACCGCCGGCGAGGGGAACAATAATCACTGCTTGCATGCAGAGGACTTTAAGAAAATCAGTAAAAACCTGGGGAAGCCTCTCTCCCTTTCCCCATCCACCGCATCGGAAACTTCCAGAAAATGCCCTGTGGCGTACAGACAGGGCAACAGGAGCAACAGCGATATCTTTCCTGAAATGATTCCGAGGATACATGTCGTTCAGTGCAAAAAAACTACAGCTTTTGGGCTGGTGTCTCCTAAATTAGAGAGACGGAAACCTTCTAAAAAAGGTAAGGAAGTTTTGGGGAACTTTTGGAGAATTTTGTGGCCGTCCTTATTTTTAAACCTTTATAAGTTCAGCTGCTCTCACAATATATTAGTTTTGATCTGAAACATTTGATTGCTGTAATTCTGGGTCAAAATAATAATTTACAGGCATCCAAGGCACTTTTATGAAACAGTGATCAATAGTTGACCATCTGTAATGGTGTAGCATCTATATGCATTGAGGGCTTGAATTTATATTTTAATTCATATATTAATTCATTTGATTCCAATGTTGTTTGGAACTTAGTGTATATTTACATTTTTGGAGCTGGTATTTGGAAACGAAAATGAATTCAAAGAGAGGTTTTAGGTGGACATTCCAGTTACACTCCAAGTCTGTGGTCCCTCTCAGGTTTGTTCAAAAGTGCTTGCTGCATTCAACCAAACACTTACCCAGGATTTTTTTATATCTCACAGCTCCACTCTTTACTCTGTTTGTTATGCTCATGATGAGGTGTCAGGTTGTTTTAAAACGGTACTGCATTGGCTTCACCCATATGTGAGAAGGGCTTCAAAAAGCTGCAGCTTCAAACAGTCACTTTCAGTTTAGCACTCTTGGTGCACCCCATGTCGAGCCTGTTTCAGACAGCGGTAAGCCTAAACACCATGCGGGCTTCCTCCCCCCCCCGCTTTGTGTTGTCTGCCCGGCATCCTCTGAAGCACTTCCCGAAGCATGGTGTCAATGGGCCCAGTCATTTAAACACAGCTCTGACGGCTGAGTTAATGGGAAGCCACTGAGACCAAAGGATGGCCGAAGGGTGGCCTCTGACATTCGTACAGGACCCCTGCGCCATGTGACCTCCCCGCTAGAATGGCGGCATTCAAGTCAGCTGCGTCCTCAAAGGAGCGGACGAAAATACCGTGCCCTCCCCCGAGAATCGGTCATGCCCATTGGCTGTGTTCCTTTAATGGAGATAGCCATTGGCCACAGAGGAAGGGGAGGGCATGAGCTTAGCCCTCGGAAGGGCATGGTGAATTCCTCAGACACACGCAGACTACGTTAGATCGGGCTAAGAGCGCACAGACAGTCTCTGTTGGTCTAGGGAGCCCGGCAGCCAAAGAGCTACAGGAGGCTTGACTGCGGTGCTAACTGCGGTGCTTATTGTAGCTAACCATTAAGCAGGAAGTCCTGCTGTGTGGTCGTACGTCAGGAAGGAGGATTCCCTCACTGACATTGACCACAAGACAAACATCTCAGCTCACATGGTGTCATACAAGGGTGTGAACACATCCTACACTGTGTCCCCTCAGGAGACTGTAAGAGTAATGACTCCCAAAGTGGTCATTCTGAATTACCTCATCTTTCAAGACATCTGTGTCATTTTCTGTGTGCAATCTTTTAAATGACTAAGGGAAAAAGATACTTATGTTTTAACTACTTGACAAGTGTTTGTGGCGGTGCCTCTCTGTGTTGGAGTAACCCAGAAGAATAGTAAATGATAAGCTTTAAATGATGGTTAGTTGGTTGCTTGACTGACGAATTTGTGGGTGGTATGAGAATATGGAGGCTAAGTGGTCTTTCTCAGAATAGTAGCCAGCTGCTGTTGTTACGGCACCAATATGTCAACATTATACTGCATGTCTGCTGGTTAGGCCAGCAATTACAAGGCATTTCACAGGCCCCCAGAAACAATATTACTCCTACACCCCCAAAGTTCCTGACCACTGGCATTTCTTTGTGATGGGGCGGAGTTATATTTAGTCCAGGGTTCAGATGGAGTTAAACTACCCATCAATCATCGTGTCACCATCTGTCAGCGCAAAGTGGGATGGATATGGGGTGGGGGAGTGGTGCTCTAACATCAAACAGCAAAATTATCTGCACGAATAAAACCAACAGCCACTGCCCAGCAACTGCTACCTCTGAATATCTAAACCTAACTTCAAGGCCTTCTTTCTAACTTCTGATTTATTAATGTATGCATCAAAGTTAAATCCCAACCTTTTTTTTTAACTTTAATTTATCATTTAGTTGCTGAACCCTTATCTGAGGTGAACTGTGTACATTTGCATATTACACATTTACTCTGCAGGATATCTCTGGGAAGTGGTTCAGGATTCAGTTCAGGTGTCTTGCTGAATGGTACGGTACATTAACAGCAAGCCACTGATAAATCAGATCTGCAAGCTTCGAATCTAGGTCACAAATCTAGTTCCCTGACTGTATATTGACACTGCTGCGGCTGACTTGCCTGACTAGTCATACACTAGAATGTTTGTGGCTTCTGAACTTTTTTATCCTAGATTCTCTGAGATACCATTCAAGTACTGCTCAATGTCTTTTTTGTCTTGATCACATGTGTTAGACCGTTCCTAGGTTGTCTATGTACCGTATGTTTGAAATGGAAGTATACCTGAAGATCTCTTGTATTACGCAAGGCAATGCTTGCTCTCATAGTGTGCGCTAGATTGCAAAAATATCTGTAATCTCTCTTTATCACAAGATGTCACCCCACCCTCCAAAGTGGAAGCCCTGACCCCTCCACCTCCTGCTAATGGACAAGAGCAAAAGCTTGAGACCCCACAGGCTGAGAGGCGAGCCGGGCCCCAAACCTGCACCCCCTCCGCCCGTTCCTGCAAGCCGCTGCTTGTGCCCTCCCTGAAATCCAGCAGCTGCCTCCTGCATCTGGGAATCGCCTGCCTTCCAGGTAAAGCACCGATGCAGCAACTGTAAGTGAGGGGTTGCAATGGTAAGTGGAGTTACTGAGAATTTACTCACTGGCTTGTCAGGCTTGTTATTTATATGCAGGCTGAATTGGCAGGGAAAGCATACTTTAAACCATATTCCCTCATCACACATCTGATCTTGTGCTTGAAAACCAGCTGTTGAAGGAATTTTAAGTACTCTGTAAAGAGGAGGCGGTGTTACCCTGTTTCACACTTGGGCATTTAATTGAACGGCTCACAGTACACATATCCTGATCCTGCTGGTTTGTAGGCTGCCACCACACTGAGACTACATTTCCCATCATTCTCTCTCTCTCTCCCTCTCTCTCTCTCTCTCTCTCTCTCTCCCCCAGGAAGCAGAGACAGGACAGGCAGAGCCGTAGTGGAGGTTTATGGGGACCACCAGGGCTGGAGGTCTCCTTTGGTGTCCAGCCAGGAACTGTGCAAACTGCTGTTCCTCTTCCACTCCGTTCCAAGGTTTCGTGTTCCTCTTTTACACCAATGACATCAACAGAAATGTGGAAAAAAACAGTTGGCCTTCTTTCATTTATTCATTTACTT